ATCAGTATGTATCAGAAAATGTAGTAAAAATATGGGGTGATTTCAGAGCCATTTTTTGGAAAAAACCATGGACTATAGGTCTGTAGCAATGTTTCTAGGGAGCCAGCTTTACAACCTATCTCAGGGGAGTCGATCACTGTTTCCACTGTGGATGGTGATGGAGCTAGGGCTGATGTTGCGGCAGATGGTTTCTGGGGAACTTCCCATCAGAGAGCCTTTTTTGATGTGGCTGTTGTAAATCCTTTCTCTGATTCATACAAGGGCCTCGATTTACCAGCTGTATATAGGAAAGTGGAAGCTAGAAAGAAAAGGAAATATGATGTACGTATCAGGGAAGTGGAGCACGGTTGTTTCTCACCTCTTGTTTTTTCCACCAATGGCGGGCTGGCTCCTGTATGTGATGTAGTTTTTAGACGAATTGCATTACTGACAGCTGACAAACTTAACAAACCGTACAGTTCAGTAATCAATTTCATCAGATGCAAATTATCATTTTCAATTTTAAGATCAACAATTCGGTGTGTAAGGGGTACAAGGAGATCAATATATAGGCCCAGTGACTGTGACATTGATGTAGCAATCTCTGATGCTCGACTTCAATGTCACTAACATATTAATAAAGATTATTATTATTATTTTTATTACTAATTTCACTTATAAACTCATTACTACTGATTTCTGATCCTATTTCAAATTCATTTTATTATTTAAAAAAAAAAAAAAATGGGCTATGGTACAGGGTATTTTTCAGAATTTTGGCGTTTTTTATAATGGCTGCAACTCAAAAAATTGAAGTCGGAATTGGCTCAAACTTTCTATACAGCATAAGGACGTCAATATGTATTAGAAAATGTAATAAAAATTGGGGGTGATTTCAGAGCCATTTTTTGGAAAAAACCATGGGCTAGTTCTAGCATTATTATTTACTATGTAATTTTATGTGGCCAGTCTTGTTACTGTGTTTACCTTCGATACATCTCTTTTTTGTTTTTTTTCTTTTTGTCACATTTTATAGTATGTATTGTAAAGTTTATTAATAATAACAGGGATATAATAGACTAATAACCGGGATTGGCAACGGGATCACGTGAGCGTATCATTTGTGTATAAAAACTTTTTGCAGTCTCTGTTATGATTTTCAAGATGGCGACTGTCAATGTCTGGAGTATGAAGTTGCTCTTTTCTCTTTTAAAAATGTATTTAGCTTTATGAAAAATCTACTGCAAAGTTATAATGGCGGCTTCAAGGTTCTGATAGGTTATTGTAAGTTAATATTTGTTTTAAATTGGTTAAATCTTCAATTTACGGCTAAAATTCCATTTGCGTACCTCTGTAGCCCAAATATTTGTTTTTATGAATGTGTTTTTGTCATGAATTGTTGCTACTTACTTTATTACATTGTTTAGGCAACTTCTCTTGTTTTTCCAGAGTGTTCTTCAGGAAATATTCAAGAAAAACCAGTTTGCCATGGTACGACTTTTGCGTACCTCTCAGGAGAATAGACTACATTCTATTGCTATGAAACTACAATAAAGAGACCCTTTACATGTTTTTACATTGTTTAAAGTTGTTTTTGAATTTTTCCTGTTGCTGGTTTTTTAGTTATAACAATTTACATTCAGCCATTTTGCTAAGATGCCATTGATTGCTGCCATTAATTTAATGAATAATAACAGAGTCTGATAATTGATTTCCGGTCCGTAACCAATCCCGGTTACGTTAGTCTATTATATCCCTGATAATAATTAATAATAATAATAATAGTACAGGGATTTTTTCAGAATTTTGGCGTTTTCTTAAAATGGCCATAACTCAAAAAATGGAAGTCAGAATTAGCTCAAACTTTCTACACAGCATAAGGACATAAATATGTATCAGAAAATGTAATAAAAATTGGGAGTGATTTTTTAGCCATTTTTTGGAAAAATCCATGAGCTATATAGTACAGGGATTTTTTAGAATTTTGGCGTTTTTTAAAATTAGCCGTAACTCAAAAAATTGAAGTTAGAATCAGCTCAAACTTTTATAGTTGACGTCATTACATATTATTATTGTTATTATTATTATTATTATTATTATAGCCACTATTGATGATGATGA